TGGAGCAATCCACGCAGCAGTTCTTCTGTCTCCCGTGACTTGGTGTGGTACGCCACCTTGTAGCGTGTAGCCACATCGATGAGGAGAACAAAGGGCTTTGACCACAAGTAGAAGATGTCCATCTCCACTTCATCGCCGAAGTGTGCTGCCAATGAGACCTTGGTCTTTGGCTTGGCTGGTAGTCGTGCATATCGTCGACAGATAGGGCATGATGCCACTGCTTCATGAGCCATTTGCACTACTTCAGGAGGCATCCCTGCTCTGAGGAGCAGGTTGGAGAAATCCGTGGCGTTGGCATGCCACATCTTTTCATGTAGCCCAAGAAGGAGGCGTCGAGCTGCCACTGTGTCTTTCTTGATCTCTTGAGGTAGTCGATGAAGGACACGTCGAATGCTGTAGAGAGGCTTCATACTTCTGAGCTCGATGGCTGTTGTATCGACTCCTTCATAGGGCATCATGGCTGTAGATGAGGATGGCTGTGCAGGATCTTCAGCTGGTTGTCGTGGAACGATGGCCTGTGATTCTGAGGCAGCTTGTGGCATTGGTGTCATCGGTGCAGATGTCCCAGATGGAGTCTGAGGCGCCCCTTTTGCGGACGCTGGAGGATCGTAGCTGCCGAAAAATGCGATCAGCCAATTCTCTTCTTCGATGGCCTCCCTTTGCTGTGAGGCTGAGAGTTCTCTCAAATCCTCGATGGAATGAACCTGCCATGATTCATAGGTTCCCCGGCAAATCAATCGTAGTGGCGCTTGTTCTGCAGAGAGATGAGGCTCTGGAAATGGTTTGGCAAATGGGTGAAGCACCACGTGGACTCCGAAGACGTAGAGGATCTTTCTGAGGAGGTGTTTGGCCGCCATCATCAGAGATGGATCAGTGAGCCAGTAGTGATATTCTTTTCCACCGGCAGCTTCAAAGACGGACATGCTGTCCTCCACGATCTTGCACAGCAAGTATTTGAGATGTACTTGATCTTCAGGAGACAAGTTGTAATCAGCAGGCGCTGTCAAAGTGACTGCCTTGGCATTTGCATGCGAGCGTGCGGCTCTCTTGAAGTCTTCCAAAGGGGACGATGCCATAGACGGTGTCGAGGGAGCTGCAGTTGCCATCTTCTCCAGCTTTCTTCCATAACGACATTCTCCTGGAATGTAGGTGTGTTCTGTTCCAGGAAGAGCAGCTCGTCCCAACTCGCAGCGCTCACACTTGTAGTAGATTGCTGTCTGAGCCAAGCTGTGCAGGATCTTGGGGCGAAGGCCACCATGTGGAGCAATGGTGTGGACGACGTCCTCAATGAGTGCTTTGCAAAAGCGCTGAGGGTAAACTGCTGCCATTGCTGTTCGATTGATGCCGTTGTGTTGGCCTTGAAGAGGTGTGTGTGGAACTCCTCGATGGCCATTGCATCGGCGAACAGCTACTCTCAGCTTGAAGTTGGCCTCAAGGCCGGTGGCTTTGAGCACAGGTTGTCGATGTTCATCACATGCTCCAAAGGCGCACTGATCTGTCCTCTTTGCTTTCCGGTATCCATGGAACTGCTGGTTGTGGATCATCACACTTTCTGTCCACATAGCTGAACTCCATGGTTGCTCCAGCACATAGTACTTCTTTCTCTGAACTTGCTGGGCCAGCTTGTTCTGCATGTAGACCAGTGCTGGTCTCTCTTTCTCACGATCTCGTAGAAGATCTCGTCTGTCTCGCCTGGATGAGGAGATGCTGTAGAACTTGCATCGAGGAGTGCACATGAGGAAGTCTGGGCGACAGACATCGTAGGCTTCATCAAGCATCTTCTGGTGCTCTGGTAGGCCAAGATCCCAGCCATACCTGAAGTCAACAGGAAAGCCCATGGATAGGCCAGAAAGCACGCATAGCAATGTGAAGCGTCCAGAACCTGAACATAGTTCCCAGCCATGCCACTTAGTCTTGTTGCGCTTTGCCTCTTTGATCCATCGTGGAAAGGTGGATGGAGAGACCACTCGTCGTCCTGACTTCACGTAGAACTCCTCAGGCATTGCTTTGTAGTCCTTGTTCAGTCGTTGGCATTCTTCAGCTGTCAGATGTGCTGGATATTCATCCTGAGTGTAGAGAGGCAAATCACTCAGGTTCGTGGCAAAGATCTCCTCAGTGAGGTCGGAGGATTGGATCTCTTCTGTTGCTGGTCTCGGAAAATCTTCACTTATCACACGCACTTCTTCACTTTTCACACGCTCCTCTTTTGGAGCCTCTTCTGGTGCGGAATCATCGGGCAGTTGACGGACTTCATGAAGAGGTTCGGCAAAGGACACTTCTTTCTTTTGTGTTGTATCCGCAGGCTCAACTGTCGTAGTACATGAAGATGTCGGCTCTGCGGACCTCCACTTCTGTCCTGGGTCTGCTGCTGCCTGGGTGACCTGTTGCCAGAACGTGTAGGAATGATCTGGCCAATGAGCTTTGGACATCTCAGAGATCTGCCGAATGAAGTGGCATACATCATGTTGTGGTTCATGTACTGCGGCTGCTTGATCATCCAAAGGCAGAAGATAATGACCAGAATCTGTCAGCAGACACCTGAAGAGGTGAATGTCTGCCATGGTCGAACTCTGAGAGGTGGACGTCCAGGTCACCAAGAGGCCGTCGTTGTTGTCAAACCAACACGAATGCAATGATGCCTTCATTTCGCAAAGTGCCGGATTGCCAACCAAGGCTGGGCAGAGTGAGCCTTCCTTGCCTATCACGTCGGCCGTGTAGGTAGCATCCAGGCCCTTGAACGGAAGCTTGAGGTGCACACGTCCAATGGCTCGATCTGGACAGCCGCTGATGCCTGTGATGGTGGCGGTGGAATTGGACCATGAGATTGTCTCGTTCTTGGCATTCGGATAGCAGTGATCGAGAAGATCTCTTAGCGTTTCACTGCCAACCAAGCCTGCAGCGGCACCTGGATCGATCAGAAGGCCACGTCGTTTCTGTCCTCGCACCGTATGGTAGGTGCAGTGGTTCGTGTGCAAAGTGGTGGCAAAGGAAAGGTGCTTCCGTGACTGCTCTGCTGCTTCTGTTGTTGTTGTCTCTGCAGTCGTTGTCTCAGCAGGCGGGCCTCGCCAGGCAAAGATCTCCTCCTTGCGTGGTGGAGTGGTTTGCACCAACTGCTGTGTCTTGTCAGTGCGATTGCTCGTGGGCGATTGAGCTTCCAGAGACAAACCATAGTCGGGCTGACGACGATAGGTGGTGTAGTCCTGGAAGTCATCATAGTAGCCCTTGTACTTGCTTTTGCCTTTGCCCTTGGATCGGAAGCCTTTCTTCCCTTTTCCTTTGCCTTTGCCCTTCTTGCCTTTTCCGAACTTGTCTTTGCCCTTGCCTTTTCCTCCGTGATTGGCTGGACATTGAGCTGCACGATGGTAACGAGAGCCACAAATGAAGCAACCGTCATTGGAGCCCTGGTAGTAGTCCTCGGAGTTCTCGAGGTCATCTGCAGCCATGTCATATTCTTCAGCAGTGCTGTGCCAATCCGGAGAACTGTGCTCAGCGGCGTCATACCAGACTTCTTCTGTAGGGCCATCATACCATGGATCATCGTACCATGGCTCTGAGCTCCATTCATCATAGTACGTCCAGTCCTGCTCAGTGCCATACCATGCACCCCACGGATCATAGTCAGTCTGGTAGTTCTCGGCATGGTCGTTGGTGCGCTGATGCTCGGCATAGAGGTCGTGAGACAGTGACTGATTCTCACTGCGACTGCTCAGACGGAGAGCAAGTCGTCGAGCTTCAGCAAAGCGACTCATGTCTCCGTGAATCTGGAGTTTCACGTCCTCCACGAACTTGGAAGGAAGTCCACTGTGGCGGAAGAAGAGGTAGGTCTTGGCGACGTCGTTGACATCAAGGCCAGCCCTCATTTGTGCTTCCTCATAGCGAAGATCCCATTCGGCGGAGTACTCCTGGAACGAAAGCTTTCCACGTCGGAGCTCAAAGAAGGCCTCCAAGGCGGAAGTCGTGAGCTCCTGGTCACTCTGACCGAATGCTTCCCGTAGGGCGGAAGCCAGCACGGAGACTCCGCTCGGTATGTGAGGTTGCAAAACCACATTGGGATCCATAGGATCGCGAACTTCGTCCACGGTGAGTCGGACAAGAGCGCTGTCACCAACATCATAGTTCCCATCAGGGCGGATGACACGAAGATTCATGGCAATCTTTTGGGCTCGTCCTTGCAATCGTCCTGCCACCAGAGGGCCCACTGATTCATCGGGGCCTTCATAGATCCTGTACCACAGCTTCAGTTTCTCAAAGAACATTCGAAGCGGGTAGTCCGGCAGGCCAGGAGCCCAACCGGGCGGGCAGTCTCTCCGGTACTCCGTCAATGGAATGCCGGACTGCAAGGTCGAGCTTGTAGCCGCCATCACTGATGTAGGATGGGCGTAGGACCGATTCTCCTCGACAGGGACCTTGTAATCGATGAGCTCAGGGAGATATCCTGGAGGTGTAGTCTTGTAGTCGAGCTCGACGATCACACTCTTGAGGTCCTGGATCGGGTAGGTCGGGACTCGCAGCTTGAAAAAAGAACCTGGAGCGAGCTCAACAGGCGGTGGTGCTCCTGCTATCAGCCAGCAGGAGGGAGAGACAAGGAGCGCCAAGAGCGCCGTGATACACACGTTGATCAGGAAGGTGAGGGTCGTCGTGGTGTCACCTGAAGCAACGCAAAGGTGGCCTGCGGTCACGGCAGGCGCGCTGGAAGCCAGCGCCGGCAGCCTATGGCGCTCGGAGCCCCGCCGAAGCAGGGCTCCGCTACCAAACAAGCGGAGACTTTTCAGCTAGCGGCCAAGGGATCCCTGTCGATCCGGTTCGAGTGAAAAAAAGGGTATCGGTCATGGTGGCTATGACTCATGTACAAATGTTCCAACTCTCTGAATCATCCCGAACTATACTGGCGGTTTCCCCCAATCGAATCTCTCAAAGCTAACTTAAGTGGAAGGTCCCGCGCTTCATTTGTCATCCGTTGACAACGGGTCATGTTGCGGACGAAATCTGGGCTTTCGCACTCAGACTTATCTCGCCGCCTTCGATCCTGGCGGACAAAGTCTGCAAGAAACTCGGCTAACACCTGTCAACTGTCACCTATATCTCCAAAAACCTCACCTCTAACTACTGGCAATCATATTCCAACATCCACATGATGTACACTTGTGGCTACAAATAGCTGCAGGCTTTGCAATCCTTTTCGTTTGGCCTCTACCAATGACTCACCATCTACCCCGCTCCTCTCGCCGCCGGTCGTCCCGATCCCGGCGATCATCTCGCCGGCGATCGTCCCGCCGGTCGTCGCGGCGGTCATCGCGGCGGCGGTCATCGTCCCTGGTGCCATGCGAAGAGGTTCGAGGAGAAGGAATACAGAAAAAAAAAAGAACATGTTTCCAAAACATCCAAAAAACTGTGAAGTGCCTGTTGACGCTCTTTCCATGAAAAGCCTAATAGGCCATTGGTCTTATTTTGCCATTATATATATATATAATGTTGAAGAAAATGCCAGCGGACTTTGACAACGAGCGTAGTGGTTGTTTCCCGGTCGCCAACATGCACTTCGGGTCTCAGGACGCATTGCTCTGCCACCCTGCCTACGCCGGCCAGAGTCAGCCTGGCTACACTGTACGGCTACACCCACAACTGTGATGCGAAGCGGAACAAACCGTGTTGTCTTGATATGTCTTGATGCTCCGAAGAGTCTCGGACCTTCCAAGATGCTTTGCAGAGGACACACTCTTCGCACTCAAAATGTGGACATGGAATGACGTGGAGGGAATCCATTCCAAGCCATGAATGCATCTCATCATCTTCAACGTCTGGGCCACGAGAGTTTTGTGCAGTTGGTGTGCGCCTCTAAAAAACTACAAAGTGCCAATCCAAAAACATGCAAGACTGCCGAAATCAAGTAGACAAAGGTTGGAACTGGCACCATGTCACCTTGGCTTGTGTCTCCAAACCTGTCAGCATCGTCTCACTGGGTGCCTGCTTGGACCGTGAGCGCCGCGGGGATTTCCGCCGGTCGCGCTCTTGGTCTCGGGTGCCACGTGCTTGCCGCTCGGCCTCCTCTAGGTCTTGCCTGGTGGATGTCCCGAATTGCGAGTCCGTCTTCTAAATAACACACACCAACTCCAATGCAATTATTAATTGAGATGAGGTAGTCAAGTGCCTGTTACCTATGGACCTATGGTCTCTGATCCAAAACCACAAATCTCAACCGCACATCAGGTTTGCTGTTTCTTTTTGAGAGGGTCGCGGAGGAGAATCGAGAAAAAGACAACGACGTTCTTTCCAACGAACTGCCGCACTGCTGTCCTTTTTGGAAGGGAGTCAGACAACATGTCAATGCCTGGAACTGACTTTTAGTGGCCATTGGCAACTCCGTCACACTAAACACTGTATCAGAACCTCTGTTGGGGTCCACAGCGCAGCGCGCAACTGAGATGGCTGCTTCTTGATCACAATTGCTCTGTACAGCTGGGGAGTACTAGGAGGCGCAAAAATATATTCAGAAGCCAACCAAAAAATGGGCACAAACAAAAGCGAGCGAATCTCGTCTGTACTGTGCACCAGCTAGCACTTGAGTGGAAGCTCTGGATGCTGGATGAGGATCCAGACCTCATCCGCCCACAGAAAACTTCCAATTCCCTTTACAGTGGCCAGCTCGAAGAATCATGCATGCCAAGGCCGAGCCAAGTCCCCGGATCCGCAGAGCTTGGCAGTCGGGATGGCAAAAATTCTGCGTTGCGTGCCTCGTTTTGGATGGGCAGCTGCTCAGCTCATCCATGAGATCCCATGAGCCATGCATCTGCATCAAAGCACTGGTGGCGGTCAGCGAGATGGTGAGCAACACAGGTGACATCAAATATTGAATGAAAATGAGGGTGCTCATCGCCGCCTTGTCCTGGCCGCCAACTTCTACCTGTACCATGATGTTGTTGGCCGTGGGCGTCAGAGAGACCACAATGGCCACCAGCCACTTGCCGGTGACGACAGGTCCAGGGACCAAGCGAACGACCAGGAAAACCAGGCCAGCGATGGCCGCAGGCTGGATCAACATCTTCGTGAGTGTTAGAACCACGGCAGTGCTGACGGGCAACGCACTGAAGTCAGCACCCTTCGACAAGTTGGAGCCTAACATGATGAGGTTCACAGGCACAGCAGCCTGCCCCAAAGTGCGGATGGCACTGTACAACCAATCCAAACCGCGCTCAGATGGCAAGCTCCAGTCGTTGAGATTGATGAATTGGTTCTGCAAGGGCCGAATGAAGGCGACCAGGATCCCCAGAAGCGTAGCTGCCACTGGTGGCGACAGGAACATAAAGAGAACATGCTTCAGCATTGCACCACATTTGTCGCAGTGGGGCATCTGCACATCTTCCGGGGTGAGGACATCCTCCAGCTCTCCGCAGGCTGTGAAGCCAGGGCCCACCTCCAGTGGTGGTAACATCCCCACGGTGCGCAAGCGAGGCCGATCCCGCTGAGACGATACCGGCGGATCCCGCAGCACGCACGCCGTGCGAGCGCGCGAGAAGTCCGGGTCCGACGGGTACTCGGCCGCGGGGCTCTCGGTGGGACTCTCGGCCGCCTCGACATCACCGGTGAGGCTCTTCTCGGTGGGGCGGCGGAAGATCAAGGAGCCGACGGTCCACTGCAGCAAGGGAGAAAGCACCAAATACACCGGCAGGAAGAGCAGGGGATCTCCATTGACCACTCCTTCAGCCACCAGGGAGGGGGCCAAAGTGGAGAGCAGCACCACCGGCATTCCGGTTGAATTCCCAAAGGCCACCGAACCTGCAGCGGCCCGGCGGAAGTTCTCTGGCACCCGCATGATCTTGGCCGCCAGGAAGCCCAAAAAGTAGCCACAGCCCACCACCACCAGCGGCCAAAAGAACAGGTCTGCTGAGGAGAGGATCACCTGCGCCATGTTGGGACAAGCATGGTCCACCTTCATCTGAGCATTGTTGCAGTAAATCACCTGGCTGAACATCAGGCAGGGCAGCAAGAGGTTCATGGACAGCTCGCCCAAGCCTTTCCTCACATCATTGGTGATGATGCCCAGACGTGTCATGAACAGGCCACCAAAGGCCATAACTGCGATGCTCCCAACAGCCTTTAAGGATGCAAGAGTCAACGCCCCGATGTCCACGATCATGGCGCTAAGAGCAAAATCGTGCCGAGATCGAAGCCTAAAACTGTGAACCGTTGGCCGTTGGCCGTGATGTATTGCATGCGTAAATCTGGTGTATGTATACACGTCTAAGGTGCATGTCTTGGAATTGAGTCAAAGGTTTCTTCAAAAGGAACCTGGTGGAGCGCTTTCTGGTGAGGCTTTCCCATGCAAAGAAAAGACCAAGACAACTTTCTAAGTGACTGGCTTTCTTCTCTTCAACTCCTCTTGCACTTTCTCGGCTTCCTCCTTCTTCTTCTGGAGCTCTTCCTGAAGGATACACAAGACATGACCTTTTCAGGTGCCCAAAACGTCCGCCATCCCTGCCTTCTTTTGGTCGATAAATTCTCGGGGCACTCCAACCGGACTCTCCTGGCATCGCACGTCTTGGCACCCGACACCAGTGGGTCACCGACTGGTCACCAGGTGTCACCGTTCCCCGCCTGCGCAGAGAGCAAATGCTGCCAAAGCTCCGAGACGAAGGGGCCAGCCTTGCCCCAAAATGGGTCGGAGGGGGTGATGTAGAAGAAACAGAGGGGGTGTGAAATCCAGAATGATTTGTCCTGGATTAAGAAAACAAATCAGCATGATCAACTGTATCAAAGGCCAATAGAAACCTCTCCATGTTCACAACTGCACCTGATGTAAGGCCCTAGTAGACAGAACGACCAATTGATTTTTGAGGCCCAGAAGAGTCGTTTTCTTTCTGTAGGTCAAACCCCGCCAATCCCGGTCGTCTACCCCAGCGACCCACCAGTTCACCTGTCTACCAATCACCATGTTCACCCACCATGGTTGGACCATGGGTCTCTTTCGACCAGCACTCAAAGAGAAAAACAAAGAAAAGCCACTGTCTCCCTTCCGAAAAGCCACCTTGCGCTCCATGAAGCCTGTCATATTCACCTGCCGATGAGAATGTTGCCAAGAAAAGGGGCAGGAGACTGCGGACTTCGTACGGAAAGCATAATAAGAAAATCAATGAAATCAAAAATAGTGAGCAACAAAAACCTCACCATCTTCGCCTGCAGCAGCTTGGGGTCTAAGCCCTTGTCTGGCGGCTCGGACAGCTGCGCCACACAGAAGCTGCGGCGGCTGGTGGGAACGAACTCAAAAGGAAAATCACTGGGATCCTGGAGTATGAGTAATTAGAAGCGATGGCCTCCTAGGATGGCATTCTAAATGTGGGCATGTATGCCGGTACTACAGACCACAGCGTCCCGAACAGGAAAGTCCAAATGCGAAGTCTTCACTCAAGCTACTCCTCTAGTGACTAGTGTTTGTTGAAAGGAACTGATTAATTGCTCTTCCTCATCTTGTAGACAAGCATTCAACATTCATCTACCCTCCACATCTGAGGGCCCAACTCTACGACGATGTCATCCTCGAAGCCCAGCATCTCTGTGATGCGCTTGGCAATCCATGGCTTCATGACATCCATGGAGACCTGCATCGTTCAGAAGAAATAAGTCTTCTTCGGGAACACTCGTTCGAGGACCACGAGACCCGGTGTTCAACAAGCGGCCTTCGCCATGTCCACTTTCTTCGAGTAGTGGTCAGGGAAGCGCTTGTTCTTTTCCATGTCCTTGATGATCTTCTGCTCGGCATTGACATGTTTCACCTCCGAGACCATGTTGACTCACATGGTGAGCTGAGAATTGTGTAACAAGGGTTGCTTCTTGCATTGTTTTCACGTCTTCCTTCAAACTTTGGCAACTGGAGGCTGGCTCACATCGTGCGATGTGCCCGCCTGATCGGTATTTGTTCCCCGAAAGAAGCCCGCAGACATGGCCTGACGGCGGCTTGCCACTGGGTATGCTTTACATGGTCCCCTCATTCTGCCTTGCCACACCAAAACTGGACTGGTGGATCAAACAAGGCCGGCGCAATAGATCTCATATCTCCTTTCATCACAGTTACTTAGACATGCATGTTTCCGACCTTGGGACCTACTAGCTTCTTGCTAGCAAGGCCAGGAGCTACTAGTAGCGTCGTTCCGTTCGTAGCGATGCCAGGAGCCCCGAACGTAGCGTCCGATTGCTCCTACCATTCATCAAACTTCCCAAACTCCGGTCAAAATTGAGACTGCTCGGAGTCCCCCGCCACCAGCTGCCCTCGCCGCGCCGCCGGCGGTTTGGCTAGTGGTGCTACGGCCGAACACTGTACCACAAACCAGTGGACCAAGGGGATAGTTGAAGGCCAAAAAAAAGAAATCCTGTGGTAGTCAATGTACATGAAAGAACAAAATGTAAGCAGCAAGCCAAGAAGTGGGAGGGTCACGATCCCGAATCCCATCATTTCATGGCACAAAGGCAGATAATGCCAGAAAGAAGGAATTGATGAGGGTGTAAACGAATGTTGGGGACAATTTCTCATGGTGCTCTGACTTCACGGCACAGAGCCGATTTGCTTGTGTCTTGCATTGATTCTCTGGCCTCATCCAGTCAACTATCTTCTGGATTAGTGACCCCTGGGGATCCCTTCAAACTATTTGCGTAATGAGTTCAGGCGTGCAGCCTCTTCTCCGGTATATGCCAGAAGCGCCGAATTGCCGCGATCCCCAAGCAGTGCAGCCGCCGCTTTTCGCCGGAACGAAGCGCATCGTCGAATTCCGAGGCCGGTCCACCTGCGGGCGGTGCATCACGGAAAGAAGGCGGGTAATTTAAAGGCTTTTACACAAAGAGGCTCCTGCAACCTGGAAAAACTAACAAAAAAAACTGCAAAACCTCTGTTGTCGGCCCATGTAGATCAAGTGAGGGATCCATGTTCCACTCCTGATGAGGTCCTGCTTCACATGTTTAACCACCTGAGTGCTGTGTCCTGAAAAGAACCGGTGGACTCGAGAGCCACCTGAAACTCCAGGGGCATCCAGCAAATACACCGTTTTCCCGCTGCAATCCTCCGACATCTGCCTTTGGCGATCCGGACAAACACAAGCTCTTTACAAACTCCGCTCGGCAGAGCATAACGTGAGGAAGTACCTCAAGCCTGCAATGGCCAACCACATTCCGGATTCTTGTAGAGAAGCATGAGAATGCTACTTATCTCGAGCCTATGATCAAGGGAAGTCGATTGAGGAAACTTCTAAGTTCCAGATCAATTCACGCTTGCTTCTGAACTTGATTCAACGTTGGGTGGATGCTTGTGTAGCAGGCTACGATTGAATCTGGTGTGCAAAAATAACAGGATCCTAGAATTGTTGGAGCGATCGTTCAAGAGGCCTGGAAGGCTTCAGCTGAAGAAAATGATTGAATTCTGATGAATTCTGCTGATCTGAGGCTTACAGTGGAATTGTAAAATGTCTGGAATTCATCCTCTCTCAATCTCAGAATGGGTTGCCCACACTGCTAACACTACTGACGCTACTGGCCAAGCTCTTGCTCCGGTTCAGGGCCGACATGGAGTCAGCGGGCATGTTGACCATGGGCCAGGCCAACCTCAGAAGATTGCCTTTTTTTAGATGCACCAACCGGATCCAGAAGGAATTCGAGCGTTAATGTGTTGTAACACCGTTGCTCTCCACCTTCTCATGTGGCAAGACTCTCAAGATGCTGAGCTCCCCGCTTTCGCACCTCGGACGGGTGGAACGATGGGGACGCAAAGCGAACGGTTCGGTTTTCCATGGCTGGACCTCATGGCTTGGGAGGAAATGCAGCAAAAGAGCACTCCCAAATGCTGTGGCATACTTCCATAGACAGCTCTAATTTCACTTGTTTATGTATGTGAGTATATAAATATTGCGAACGGATGGAAAGGTGTGCCCTGGCCCCGTTCTAGCCCTTAGTTCAACATGAAGTTCGCGCGCTAAAGCTCCTTTTTACCTGGTTGGGCACTTGAGCCAAAATGGTATATGGCATGTACCTGTATAGCAACTATACTGGGACCTCATCCCTATTGACACCCCCCACATCCGTGCTTCGACGGGGAAGGGAGATGAGTGGATGTAAAAACCGGAGAACGAATCATGTTCTCAAAAGTGCATTGGAGGTCAACCAGTATGTCCTATTAAACTGAATTAGCAAACGATCTTGCATTCGCTTGAAAGTTGGATCAAACAGGTAATGGAGCTACAAACGGAAAACGTGCGTCTACCTGTGGTATCATGCGATTACCAACGGTGTGAAACACAATCCTATCTCACTCCCATGATGCCAAAACGGTCATCATGAATTACCCAAGATCCCTCAGTACTTGAAGTACCGGAAGTAGTATGTCGGTGTGACCCCAATGCTCAACCATTCGTGAGTTGTCGCATGTAGTCAGCTCCGACAAAGCCAATGTAGTCCTTGATGAGCTCAACGTTCCTTGGGTTTCCCCTTCGGATCTGCTCCTCAAAGAGCTTCAATTTCTGCGCTTGAACATCGGATACCTCTATGCCATAGTAGCGGCACGCAACGAGGATCTCCTTTGTGACATTCTTCCGCTCCGATTTGATGGCGGGGCTAATGTCGATGAATTTGTATGGAGCGGCACTTTCGTCATCTGGTTTCTGGTAGTAACTATACCGGCTCGCTCCGAAGGTCTTCCTGATCAAGCGTCTGATGAAATTTGAGATGAATGCCAACTTCTCGATGATCTCTTCCTGGGTCTCAGATCTTCGAGCCTTTGGATCACTCATGTTACGCCGAGTGCTGCCGACCTCTTTGAGGTACTTGTGGCTAAGCCCGCAGCGGATTGCAGTGATCATCATCGGGTGAATAACGTGGGCGTGGAATTCATAGATCTGCCACGCTTCTGTTGCATACGTGTCGTTGGTCCATTTGCTCATGCCTACGACCTCGGCTCTCTGAAGGCGTCTTGGAAACCCAGTATCCGGATCATTCGGTACTATTGGCCATTTATTGTATGGAGTGTCATGCCGCTGTCCATCGTCGAACTTTCGCAGTACGTCTTCACGACTCTCAAAGCAATTGATGTCGAACGTTGCGTTGGCCAAGCTCTTGATCAACTTCATCAACCTCAGATCAAATTGCTGTGTGACTGCAAAGTTGTGGTCGATGGGGATCGCAGCTTCTTGCGGCAATTCGTCAATTGCGAAGGGGAAAGGCTGTGGAAGTTCATTCCCGTATCCATCTTGAGGGACCTCCCGGTATTCGGGTTCGCCTTCAGCTTCGTCCGGTCGTTCCTTCAAAATGATAGGAACTTCCTCGTCCTCCTCTCCTTCGGATTCCTCGACGTCAATGACTTCTTCGGCTGTCTTGCGTGCGTTCTTGATGACTTCATCAATGTTTGCACCTGCAGCAGAAGTTGCTTCACCGGAAGAACTGGCTGGGACATCTCTCGGAGGTGATCGTTGGTTGCGGTCCCTTGTCTCCTTGGGTACCACGTGCGTGAGCTTCCCATTCGCGATCAAAACCGCTACGCAGTGCGGACATATCGTCAATCGCACATCGACTTCGCCAAGACAGTTGGGACACGGTCTTGAGTCATAGTCTTTCATTGCCCGGCGGTACACGATCTCCTCAAAGATTTCCTGCCACTCGGTGCTATCATACTCTGGGTAGACACCACTCTCCTCGATCACACCCAACAGCTTTGAGATTTTGGCATCGTCCTCGGAGTAGGTATCGTCCTGGACCTCAACCGCTAAACTCTCAAGCTTTTGGTAGCGTGGAGTCATGATCAGGTTTCCGTATTTGGACTCCAGAACAAGGTAGCTTCCAGGGTCGGGTTCTCTATTGAGTAACCTGATCCATTCGATCTCCTCAGGCTGTCCGGGTTCTGCATTGTCGCATTGCAACCATGCCCCTTTAACCTCATCGAAGGGAACGACGTCCTCAACCAATAGAGATCCAGTCGCTGAGATGAGAAGCCCGTACTCCTGCAGCTTCCACACCGGAATGTAGAGAACCACTGGGCGATCACTCAATGCAACCTTGCGACCCAGCCAAGGTTTTCCCTTGTAGCCCTGCTCCCAGGCCCATGGCGGAAAACATGTGAAGTGGATAGAATCCCTTCCCGATGAACCGAGACCTCCTGGCACTAGCCCCCGTCGCATGATTGAAGTCAGCGCTCCAAGATTGGTAGCGTGAAATGCAGTCACCATGGATAGGGCCATGTCGTTGGTCATTCTCGATCCAATGTGGTCGATGTTGATGGTAACGTCGTAACCTCCGCCGTCCGATGAGTGTGCTGAGGTTGCTCTTACGGCCACGGGAAAGCACCATCCATCGCTATGGTGGAGTCTTCCTTTGGAGATTCCCATGCCCTTGAGTTCGTCAATCCATTCCTTCTCCATCGGGTCATCAGGATCATTGAGTTCATCAGGGTGAACGCGGACCGCCAACATCTGGAATCTGATCCTCTTGGTTATGCGGAAACACTCATAGTTCTGGTCGAAGTACTTCTCCAAACGCGCCTTCTTGGTCACGATGTCAATGTTGCCATAGTGATAACCGTCTTCCCAAACTGCGTTATCACCTAACAGGTCTTCCCATGACACCCATGCGCCTTCATCGCATTTGATTGGTGTGAGTCTTCCTCCTGTCCTGAACTGGCGTCCAATTCGATACCTCAACTTCGCTCCCAATCGACGACTCAGGGCCTGGCTCGCTTGGCTGTATTCTGGTACTCGACAGTCTGGAGTCGGATACTTGTGGTTGCCGTAGTCGGAGTTCTGTGCAGCGAAAGTGACTCCGTTGATCGGTACTAATTCTACCTTCCCGATCATCGTCATGGGGTCGATCGGCTTGTATCCCTTCTCCCTCCGTGTCGGTAGGGGATAGAAGTGATGACATGCCCTTGGTTTGAGGGAACTGGAGTGCACAAATGCCTTCTCTACAAATTCGTACACCACCCTCATATCCCTAGGGCCTACTTCCGCAAGCTTCCGCCCATTGTAGGAATGTGTCCCTCCTTCGACTCCATCGGCACTTTCAATCAATGTGAACCCGTCATGGTCGAACATTGTCACGACTCTTGCTTTCAACATTTCTTTTCGCCTGAACTCGCTGTCAACCTTCCTATCTGGAGTAGGCGATGCTCTCTGCTTCTTCTTCTTAGGCTCCTCGGTTGGATGTCCGGATGGTACATCGTCGGGTGCAACCTCTCCCTTCACTCTCTTCTTCCAATCACTCAACACTGAGGTGACTGTGGGTGAAGATGAAGGGATCTTCTTGCAATTGAGAGTTGTGTGTCCCGACTTCATGCAGTGGATGCAGAATTCTGCTTGCCCGATCTTCTTCTCGAATTCGTCGATGGCTTGCAGTATTGATGTCTTCGGGTCGGACATGTCAACGTCTTGCTCCTCCTTCTCCTGTTCACATTCAGTTTCCATATCGACACCTTCGGCCTCGGGCTGGTCAGTGGCTTCTTCTCCCTGTTCTGGTTCTTTCCCAATTTCGAAGAAGTGGTCGATGTCGAATTCAGGAGGCGGC